CAGCCCGAGCTGAGCAACCGCTGAGCTGCCAACAGGTGGCAGGATGGCTCAGCTAAAAAAAAAAAAAAAATACATTTTTATACCTGAAAAGTATAAGATGAAAGGAATTGGCCAGGTGTGCGATAATTACTGTTAAGTGGCAGGACTATAATTAGGAACTCAGCTTAAGACTTTGGTCCACTTTTGCTTCTAAATGCTGTCCCATCATCTTTGCCATCATAATTCCTGTTCCTTAACCCCACCCCACCCCCATTTTCTTTTAAAGGAAAGAACAAGATGTAGTGTATAGAATATACTTAGAAGCAAATTTATATTCATGGTTGTTATAGATGGAAACAAAGGAAGCTTGCATAGATGCCATAGAAAATCTATTCTGGGTTTTAGTAAGCAATTCAAACATAATGAGAGACAAAGGAAAGGTCATGTAGAGCCTTGAATACCCATCAGAGTAAGTGGACGGATGTCAGCCTGGCTTCCTTTTTCCTGTTCAGCCTTCTCTAGAATCCTGAAGAGAAAGTTGGTCTGACGTCTGCAGTTCTCTGTAGTTATTGCTGATACCTCCTTCCCCTAATTGATAGATATCAGAACATCTGTCTATAGTTTGATATTATCTATAAAATCTTTTTAGTCATTGTAGAAATAGTGTTGAAAAATACGATAACATAAATTGAGCAGCACTGAAGAACAAAAAGACAGCAACTTGTCTTGTTTCCCTTCTCCGATTCCCCGATGCTGTTCCCTCCCTCAACTCTCCTCCCCGTCCCCCGTCCCCCCAAATAAAATAAAATATACAGAACAAAAAATAAGTAAGTAGTAACAGCACACGTTTTGGTGTCAGCACACTTGATGGGTTTTTCGGTTTTTTTCTGACCTGCGTTAAAATTTGGCTCCGTCCTTTGCTAGCTGACTGACCTTGATCTAGTTATTTAACCCTTTCGTGACAGAAGAGAATAGACAGGAGAGCTAGCTCCTCCTTGATCATTGTTGGGAGGATGACATGTGCTGTTCTCCATGAGTGGCTCCTATCCCAAGGCCTGGAATAGAGGACATACTTGGTGTTCCATTTTCTCCTTCTCACCCCAATCCCTTGTATCTGAAGTTTTAAATCTGTTTTTTTCTATTCTAGGTGGATTGTAGACATGGAAGGTGCACCAGGTACCTTATATGAAGGGGAAAAATTTCAACTTCTATTTAAGTTTAGTAGTCGATATCCTTTTGACTCTCCTCAGGTAAACTGCCTTGCTTTTTAAAATTTTATTGTGCTTTTAGATTATAGCAAAATGCTAACATAGTGATTTTTGACTAAGTAAAAATGTATAAAAGAAATTCATTATAATTACGTGAATAGATCTGTTCCTTTATCTTACTATAATGTAATCAAGATCTCATGAACATTTTATATTAATGAGATTGGGGCTTTGTTGCTTTTGTACTTCCAAGAATTTAAGACTTTATTATCCAAAGATGGTAGTAAAAAGGGGTGGAAATCTAACTAACCCAGGCCCACGGGTTGTGGAAGAACTTAGCATTCCGGATTTGCTAGACCCTCGTTCTCGGATACAACACAGAACAGCATTGTGGAGAGGCCAGTGCTTTGTTCAAAGGAGCACTTGCTTAAGTGTGTGCTGACATGCTGCCTTTGCAGCCTTTTACTATTGCAAGGGCACAATATATCACAGGCTGTTAAATATCGAGACATCAGCCCCAAATCGGATTGTTACAATTTGAAGCACTGTCAGTTTAGTTAATGGCTTAATGTTTGGGCAGGGGACAGTGGTGGCAGAGGGATATTCTGAGAGCGGTCTGACTGTGGTGAATGATTAATCGTTGGAGAGTAGAGAAGGGAGACTAGGGTGAGTCCCAGATTCCTGGCAGGGTAATGTGGGTAAATGAGTTACTAGTGGTGGCAAAATGATAAGACTCAGTGTCACCTCCATCTAGCATTGCTAGGTAATGAGGTCTTCTGGATGATGAAACTTCCCAAATACCTGAAATTCAACTTGGTAGGTGCTAAAATATGCTTTTTTTAAGGAAAATCGTATCTCATTGTCACTTGAAATAGAATAGAGCAAATATAGCTTAATCTCCTCTTGGCCATGTAGGAGTATAGGGGGAAGTCACTTACTGTACTGTGCTATAGATAAAGAGATCGTTGTTTTAAGGTGTAGAATTAAATGGAAATGAGTTCTAAAGTTCTCATAGGAGTAGAAAATTAAGATTTGGTTGGCTCATTTTTATCATTTTCATAAAAGTAAAGCAAAGGGGTATGTGTTGTTATGGACTGTAGGCCTCCCTAACAAGCACCCGTTGGCCGTAATCAAAAACAAAAGCAAATGTCTCCCTTTTCTCCAGAAAATGATCTTCACTTTCTGTTATTGCCTTTTGGCTTATCAACATCATTTCTGTTAGTGCTTGAAGGCAGTGGGGTCTCGGCTGCATGAAGGAAGAATATGACTAACCAACCCGGAAGCTTTTGACTAGGGGGCTATTGGAGGCTTACTCTGGGAGCACCCCGATCTTCCATCAGAGGGAAATAATATTTCCATAAACGTGAAACGAAGTCAAAAGTGTCCTCTAATCCTTAGTATTTAATTCTAAATCAAACATCAAACTTAAGCATCATTTGAATTTCACCTTTAATATTTCCGTAAGTTGGAGCATTTGTGATAAATTCCCTCTATCATCTTAACTCATATTCTTTTTATTCTCCTTGCCTGGTTGTACTTCTGCCCACCATTCTGATTTTGGTATTCTCCTGGGTCTTGATTCAGCACTCCCTTACTCTTCTCACTTCGCTCTCTAACTTCTTCAACCATCTCAAGCAACTGACTCCTAGATCTACAGTTCCCTGTACAACCTCTTCTTTCTGAGGTTTAATTTCACACCCTTCTTGGACATCTCTACTTGAATACCTCCAGACGTCTCAAATTTAACACATCTAAACTCAATCTTTTCCAATAACAAAATAAGGGGAAATTTTTTTTTCTTGAGTTACCATTCACCTATGTGCTTATGTTAAAAATCTTCCTTTTTCCTCACTCTTAAATGCAGTTTTTCAGACCCTTTTGCAGCGCTGAAGTCAGTCCACCGCTGTGGTCTAAGTTTTCATCTTTCGTTTGGACTATTACAAAATAACCTCTAGTCCTTTCCACTCTTAGCCATCCTTTCACAGTGCCATTTGATTTCTTTGAAGGAGCAGTTATCTCATTGGTTTTCACACATACACACCCAAGCACTACTCCCACCCTTCTCAGTAAAATCTCTAATGGTTCTTTATTTCCCAAGAGGTCAAGTCTGAAAACTTTTTAGCTTAGCAGTCGGGTCCCTTTATGGTCAAGTCCAAACTTAATCATTTCAGCCACACATTACCTCCATGCATTCTACTGTTTAGTAATATTTATTTCATACTTTATAATGTAACGTCCATTCTGATTTTATCTTGTAACAGCTCTTAATAAAGTGGTTATGGGAGATGGCTTCATCCTCATTTTACAAGTGAAGAAATTGAAAGTTACAGAAGGAAATTGTCTTGTTCATGATTGAAAAGCTAGTTAGAAGGACAGTCAAGACTCAAACCCAAGTTACTTCTCTCTCATACTGCCAATTAGGAGTGAGTGCCCGCATGGGGAAAAAAATGCCTATTTATCCATTCAGTAATGTTACCTCTGGAAGTGAAAGATTATGTGTAGAATGATACCTTTGAAAGCTCTTAGGGCACTTATTCCCAATTTTTTGGAACATAAGGATTCCTTTTTTAACATCAATTAGTTTTATCGTCTCTCCCATGTCATAGAAGTTACACATATATTCTAATACCCGTGATTGAGAAAACGACTGCATTTGAGTCCAGTGATACTTTTAAATGATTTTTACAATTTTATTAATCACATCATCTATATGGTTATAAAATAATTATAATGGGCTTCACAATAAATGCTTGATGTACATATAGATCTCAGGATTTTTCCAATAATAAATTTTCCCGAGGTCATTGCTCTGGGTAAGTGGTTGGGACCACTCTTGAGCAGTAAAACTCCCCCACTCACCAAAAATGTTATTTGATGAGCCCTGAAAGCATTAGCCCTTGTTAGATAATTAGTTTTCATTTTCCTGGGCAGTAAGCAGCACTAAATTTACCACTACTTAAAAGAGTAGAATTTGGGGAAATACCCCTAGAATAGACCAGTCTCATTGTGAAATTATTACTTTTTGATCTGTGAGATCTGTAAGACTATACATAAACTTTATAGTTGCTATATTTTTTCCCCTACTTGTTATAATTAATTTCTCACATTATCTCCCTTTATAATGAAAAGGCTACATATCTAAAATGCCCAGTCATTTGCTTGTAAAGAAACAACAACAGCAAAAAACTTTTTCAGTTAATATTTGGGGCAGAGGCGAGGTATCTTTTCATCAGTGCTTCCTCCTAATGTGCACTTACCATCAACCATACAGAAAATACAGTATCTTTATATATTCTATTTTCTTGTGCTAGGATACAAGTGAATGGTTGGTTAATTTAATGTGTATTGAGCACAACTTGTGTACCAAGTACTCTTCTGTGTACTTCAGAGATGGAAGAGAGTACAGAAATTAAAAAGCATTGGTTCTGCCTTTAAACAACCTATAATCTGTTTAGTATTGGGAGAGGTGGACATTTATTCATTCATTTTGTAAGTATTTATTGAGCACATAGCATAAGACAGACACTATACTAGGTATTGGAGAGTCAGTGGTGAACAAAATGGCAAAAATCCTGCTTACGTGTAGTTTGCATTCTTGTAAAAAGAGACAGAGAATAAACAATAAGTAAAATACATATAGTATGGAAAAGGGTGGGGGAAAAGGTAGAAAAGAGGAATGTTGTAGCTTTGGAGAAGGTGGCATTGGAGCAGAGACCTAAAAGAGGTGAGTGAGTGAGTCATGTGAGAGGTGAAGGAAGGAGCAGATGAAGACAAAGGCGAAGGCCCCAGTCTGGAGCTCGAGGGGTGGTCCCTGGGGTGGTATATCAGCAGGAGGGGGTATAGGCCACAGCTCAGAGGTCATTGGAGCTGCAGGAGTCGTCACAGGTTGCATAGGACATTTATAGCCTGTTGTAAGAATTTAGACTTCTACTGTGAATGAGATTGGAAGCCTTTGAAGATTCTGAGCAAACGAATGACATGATCCTACTTAAAATTAAAAGATAAAATCTGGCTGCTGTGTGGCACGCTGTTGGGAGACCAGATACGCTGCTGAAGTGATCCAGGTGAGAGGTGATGGTGACCTGTACGGTAAGGGCAGTGGTGGAGGTCGTGGAAGGCGGCCATGTTTTTCACCTATTTTAAACATTGAGCCAACAGGATCTGCTGATGGATTGATGTGGAATAGGAATGGAGGAAAAGAGTCAAGGAAGACTGCATAATTTCTAGCCTGTGCAACTGGACGTACGAATTGTATGCCTAGGAAGCAAAAGAGAAAGCAGCAACTGATTTAGAATAGAATGAGGGGACAGAGCAAAACCTGTTTGCAATGGGACTTAACGGACAAGAAGAATGTATATCCAGGCGGGGCAAGGTGTGAGATTTGTGAGCACAGCCACTCGGGTTTTACGTGTAGTTACCTCGGTGCTACAGCGGGAGAGGAAAGTGGAAGGAGAGTTGGGGGCCTGTCACCAAGGGCCTCGCAGTGCGAGGGGGTTGGAGGAATTGGGAGGTATGGTCAGTCTTCATCAAAATCAGGACGTCTTCAAACTTAGTATCCTCACTGCTCTGCTGTTCCTTGGTGCCCCCTCCCTCTCATCAGCAGCTTTTCCTTCCTGCCGGTGCTCTGCTCACTACCGTACACTCTCGGCCTCTGTCGGAACATCCTATTTGAATGAAACAAAGAGGAAACATGTTATTTTGTAAATGACCTGGTTATACTTGTTTTTAAGCTTTCCAACTCTAATTTTTGTTGAAGAAGTTTTAGACATAGGAGGGGGAAGAGGACACTACTCCTGAAACCATATGATGCTAAGAGCCCTGCTGAGAACGTATTTGCCTTGATTATAACCCTGGAGCAAAAGAGGAGTCACCTTCCCCTCATCCTGTGCGCCGCCCTTAACACAGACCTGTTTGTTCTGTTGCTCAAAATTCCCTTACTGCAGAGATCCAGAGCCTATTGCCACAGTGCCCTCATCCTTTTAGTCATTGTCTGATTCTCCCTGCTTGTTAATGGGATGGTGGTTAAGCTTTCCAAAGCTTTAAATAACAATTTTTATTGCCTTAAACTGTCTGGCATGTAGGATGCCTGACAAGGAGAAAGCGAGCGGTGAACCCTGTTCATTGAAGGGAGGTAAAGCAGAGGGAGATACAGGAGAAGGCTAGTAGGCTAGAAGCACATAGGACTTAACAGACACAATGGTTACCACCCAGGGGACCCAAGTTTAATTTCACTGTATCCAGGAAAGTTGTCCGCGTGTATAGCTGCGCGGTAGTGGTAACTATGAAAGACCAAGAAAACTGTTAATATTGCTAGTGCCAATTGATACATATTGGATGACAAAAAGGGAAGAGTTGAAAACTAATGAAGTTCTAATCCCCACTCACTTTTGTCAAAGATTTACTATTTATACTGGACTACCTATATCATATTATTCATAGATCCCGATGTAGTTTATTAAAATAAACTCTCTGCTTGTATGTTCAGTTTTTATAATTGCACAGTAAGTATTGTCATCTACTTAATTTTAATCAGAAAAAAAGCATCCTCTTGTATTGTCCCCGGAGAAATCTTGGTGTCGATTGGTTTTTATAATTACAGCCTGCTTTGTACTGCTCATTCTGTGTATACTGTGTTTTGACCTAGCCATATTCTAATCACTTCTAGAGCGCGAGTCTGAACACAGCAGCATGCCTTCCTTGTGGTAAGATCTCAATATTGTGAGGTCAAGCTTCATGTTTGGAAGCCTTATGTATGTATGTACCATGAGTTTCATATTATTGTAGTAACAGTTACCTAATCTCCAGCCTTTGTTTTGTCACTATTGGTGGCTTTCAGTTTAGATTTTAGTAGATGTATGAAAGACAAGACAGTGTAGTACTCAGAAGTTACCCAGACGTTGGCTTGCTTAAAATTGTTTGTTGGATGTGGGATATGCATACCTACAAAATCACACAGCCCCTGAGCATGCTTCTGTCTCAGATCTCACCTGCTCCTGAAAATGAGCCTCATGATAGGGAGATGTTTGGGTGGAGACATCTGAGGACTGCTGCTACTGCAGACACAGTAGCAGCACTTGAGACGTGGTTCACATGCATCCGACCCAGGATCCTTTTCTGAAATTGTGACTTCTGTTTCCATCAAATAGCTTATTCTTAAAAGTCTACCATTCCATTTTACTCAGTTCGGTTTATGCCATGGGGAATGTGTGCAGTCTCCAGTTGCTAACTGTTAAATCTCTATGACTAGTTTGACTCTGAGTAAATTATTTTTAAAATAAGTCTATATAATAAAATAAATTAGCAACGTTCTTGTTTATTCCCCTTGGTTTCCAAATTGGTTGTCTTGTCAGATCTGTTCTAGATAGTTTTATCATCTACTTGGGACTCTAATTAAAAAGGTTTTGAATTCTGAATGTAGCTTCATCATCTTTTACGTTTTCAGAACCTACTTGGCTGCATAAAAATAACTGAAATCATCCCTTGACTTGTACTGAGTATTAAGTAAATGAGGATGTTAAGAGAGTGATTTTGAAGAAATTCAGCCTTGGCTACTCCCCGCATCACATGCAGAGAACCAGAAGAGAAAGTTTACATTAAAACAGTCTGTGGAAGTTGCCTACCAGCCTTTTACATGAATAAACTGCTGGAAAAAAGTGCTTTCTTCTGTTTCAGGAATTCATCTCTGGCATATAAACTCAGCCTGTCCGTGTTTAGACAAACTTCTAAAATTCTGTATCTGGCAGGGTTGGCCCTAGGGGCTCTGCTGTGTGCAACTAATTCATTCCCGTTTTTATGGTCGCTACAAGTTTCAGGTTGGCTGTGTGTGCCCTGCATTAACATGTTAATAAGCCCCTGCTTTTTTTTTTTTTTTTAGGGTTATTGAAATCTGATTTTTTATTTCAGTTCCCTCAGACATCAGAGCTATTTCTGTCTGAGTTTCTGGCTCCCTTTTCTGCGTATAGATGCCCGCTGCTGCTGCTGTGGGTGTCTACTGCTGCTAGTGTCTTTTCTTTCTCTCTCCTCATTTCCTTTGGGTTCATGCATACTTCTGGGCTCCCAGGCCAAGCAATATAGTTTATAATAATCATTCTTCCCAAGAAGACTTGCCTCCTGCTCCATGAATCGGCTGGTCAGAGCATGCCATGGTAACCTTTCTGTTTGGCTGGCTGTGTATTTCCCTTGATGGTTGCAGATACATTAATTCCTTTTTGCCGAAGAAGATAACTTGGCAGTTCTTCATTTTTTGGCGCTTTGACTCATTTTTTGGCGATTCTGCTTGACTTCTTCAAAAAGAAACGTTACTGGAAAAAGAGATATCCTTTAAAAAATAGTTGTGGTCAGAAATAAGCTCTTGGGTGTTGCTTGTATTCTTAGTGAGTACATCCATTGTGGCGTAATGAACAGATGCATGTTGTGGCGTAATGAACACCCCCAAAGCGGATGCACATTCTGTGAGTTGTGTCGCCTCCCCTCTAAACCTGCAGCACGTTTGTGGGACTCTGAAATGCATATAATGACATCAATTGTAGTTCATATTTATAAAAATAAAATCTAATTTAAAAAATAATTGTGGCTAAACTCAAAGCGTTGGCAAGACCATTTAAGCAGTCATTTCTTTTTGCAGAGCAGTACTTTTTTTGTTTTGTTTTTTAAAGCAAGAAGTGAAGGAAAATGCACTAGCATAGATAGATAAAATTGAGGTAAATGGTATACTTCTAACAGCTGTGCCCAAGTCTTTCGGCATGGATCGGGGGCGTTCTGCATTCGGGCAGGGAAAGTAATTTGGTATCTCTTATTTTGAGACCTGACTTTTATTTTCCAGCCTTATTTTAGCTGTCTTTAGTGGGAATGGAAGATGGATAGCCAGAATTTAAAGAAAAAAAAAATGTGCAAATGTGTGAAGTCATTCCTTTGAGAAAAAATTCCTTTTGCTTTGCTGTCTTATATTAGCTTCAACCAAAGAAATGAGTCCCATATGTAGTAGTATATTTGAAATATTAAAGGACTTGTACTTGTATGAAAGAGTGCTTTGTTAAAATGTAAATATTCGTAAAATTGTAATAAAATTAGAATTGTAGCTAGATGTTTAAAACTAAAAGCAAAAACCTAGCTGATGGTAATTTCCCATAACACCCCATATTGTGCTGTGGCATACCTTACTCTGGCCACACTTATTTCATGGGCTCTGTTTTCTCCTCTATAAAGGGAAAAAAGATATACCTAGAGCAATATATATTTTGTCAGTTTCTGTTATAACTTAAGGTAGGGTTTCTCCTTACTGAGATTCTTCTATATTCAAGCGTGAGGCAGTTTGCAGGGCTGAGAAGGATACTGTAAGTCTGGTTTGGGAACAACTGGCTTATATTTGATGAACTTTATAAAAATCCCAACGTACCCTCTGAATCAGAATCTGTAAAAGTGGGGCCCTTGAATTTGTATTTTTTAGCCAGATGTTCAGGTAATTTTTTATTTTTTAAGACCAGGCCAGTAATTAGGAATTAATACTAAACAGAATAAAAATGGTATATCTTATTGCAGTATAAAATTCACTAACGATTGGTGGCTTTCTTTTTATACCAAAATAAATAATTTAGTATGAAGTAACATATATAAACACTCATAAGTATAAGACTTCTACTTTCTTGGACCTGCTTTGGGCTGTGCTTACGGATTCCTCAAGATACATGAATGTACTCTCCTGCTTATTCAGATGCTTAGGTAGATATGTTTAAGAAACACTACTATTGGGATATTTGTTGAATTATTAGGGCAAAAGGAGGAAATAATATATTTATTACCTTTTAAAACAGTGCTGAGGCAAGATGGAGAAAGGAAAAACTGTTAGAAGAATTGAGTAAAAGAAAAGACAGAGAAAAACAGCAAGTAATTGGGAGACTCATTCAACCCTTGTGTTTTTATGTAGGCACATAGTTATTTGCTGATTAATAAGTAGTAATTTGTGCCCATCATAATGGAGGTGGAATACATAGGAGTTATTTCCTTTTGCATTGTGATAGCATTGCTGTTACAGGTGGAAGGGGTGTTCCTATCACCTGTTCCTCATATTGTCTCAAAATTGAACACTTTCTGTTTAGAATTATAGTGTATTTGATTTCTATATGCAGAAAGCAGTGAATAGAAGTTGAAAAACCATTCTAATAAATGGAGTTGTCTTTCACTAGTCTGAAAATACATGGTAATTGGAAATTTTTGTAAGGGATTTGTGAAAAATAGCTGAACTATAAAATAGATAACCTGGGGTTTTTTTCTCCCTGTGTCACGGACGTTCATGGAGTGAAACCAGCACTTACTGAGTCAATGAGAATAAACAGCAAGCAGTGTCCTGGCACTGATTTGTTTGTTTTTTATTTGGTTTTAAAAATATTAAGTTATGTGGAGAATATTTTATTTTTTTTGGTAATACAGAATATTTGAGTGTTAATGAAATTTTATTTTTTTCTTAGGTCATGTTTACTGGTGAAAATATTCCTGTTCATCCTCATGTTTATAGCAATGGTCATATCTGTTTATCCATTCTAACAGAAGACTGGTCCCCAGCGCTCTCAGTCCAATCAGTCTGTCTTAGCATTATTAGCATGCTTTCCAGCTGCAAAGAAAAGGTAGGACTTTCCAGAATTATTCCAGGTAATATCTCTTCTTTCAGTTTAGGCAGAGAAACTATTTTAACACACATTTGATTTGAAGGAAGGACTTAATGCTTTTTCTTATAAAGTTATGCAGGGAATGTCATGTTTAGTGATAGATTGGGAAATGATTTTGATAATCTTTTGTTCCAAATAGAAATTAGACATTGTTTTATATTTCTTAAACAGGAAATTTCTACAGATGTTTTAAATAATCTGAGTATTATTTAAACTCAAAACACAAAACAAGAAATTCTTGTTTCTCGAAGCCCCTGGAGCAAGCATCATAGACTGAGCGCCGGCTCCCTCTGCTGCTGTCACTCATCGGCCTCTTTCCAGAGGCTTCCTATCATGACGCTTAGGCGGAAGGAGGAAGGCTAGATTACCAGTAGCATTTTTAGGACTTTTCCTCTTATTCTCCTTTACAAATCCACAGATTCTATGTCTGAGGGAGAGGAGAAAAAGACCAGAAAGAAAAATCCCATGAGTTAAATTGAGGATACCCTTTTCAAGTAGCTAAGCCCTCTGCATCCCTGGTCCTCTGAGCATTCCTGCAGGAGGGTTACTATAGCACAGTGTTCATGTATTTATATATTTTTAAAAGCCTCTCTTCTCCATGAGGGTTTCCTTTGTGTTCTGTTTAAAGCAGAAACAAACTTTTAGAGATTAGAGAGCTCTAGAGTTACTTATTCTAGCAGATTTTTTTTTCTGTATTCTCCAAATTGAAGTGACTCTTTTTTATTGTGTTTAGAAAAGTTTTAAGATAGTACTTCATTTTTAAATGGTAGGTTAGCTAGACTCAAACACATTAAGTCACTGTTTGTAAAGTAAGTTTCTTGGAATGTTAGTTCCATAACAGGTTTCTTGGTGCTAGGATTAAAAAAGAAAAGTTGTTTGAAACTTTTGAAAAATAAGCATGGGAAATAATGGGTTAAATTATAGCTTCCTTTTTAGCATTAAGAGCCTTTAATACACAATTTTATATGCCATGTAAGAAAGAAAATGAACTTCTGGCAGTTAAACTGTGTTAACGCACCATTAGTTAAAAAGCATGTAATCCCCATTCAGGAATATAAAAAGGTGTAGAAAAAAATGCATGCCTTAGAAGAGATGAAATGAGTACATTTTATATTACCTGATGTTAGTATCACTTTTTAACTTCAGTTTCCTCTTTGTCGTTGGCCCTTCTAAGCCGCACCTTAAGGCTACACTTGAGCTTTTCGTTAACCCTGAGGGCTTTAGAAACAAGTTGTACTCTTTTGTTGCTTCCATACTTTGTCCTCCCCCATCACCTCCTCCCCAGCACAGGTGCACATTTTAAACTTTTTAAGTATAGAGCCAAGCAGTTTGCAGTTAAAAGAGCTTCTATGTCCCTGCTAATGTTTAATGTTTAGAAAGGTGAGGCACTGACATAGGATTTAATAAGAAAAGGTAAGACATGAACAGCAGTGATGCCTGCACATGCCTATGCATATGCTTGATAATTAACTTTTGTTCACATTTAAATGTAATGATTTGCTATTAAAAACTAGAAAATGGCTGTAGTCTGTATCTCCTTCATCCTTTTCTAACCCTTACCATTCCCCTGGCATTCTAGGTCTCTGCTACTAATGCTTCTCACATACTTAACACTTAGTATAAGACTAATCATTCCATTTAAAGAATTGATAAAAGTACATTATATAATAAAACTGTAGTATGTTTAACCAAGGTGGTAACCTGGAAGTCAGAATTCTGGCAGCATTAGTTCTGTGAAATATGATGAAATTGAGCAAATATTTATTTTTACTGTGCTACGTACTAGGTTACAAAGACAAGAGGAAAACTTGCTTTGGCATTGAGGGGACCTAGCTCCAAATGAGCTTTCCAAAAGCCTTTTAAACACTTGCTGAAAGCTCTTCCGTTAAAACAGGTGAATTTTATTCTGTGGTGGACATAGTTGTAGGAGTTTCACTTTGATAATTGACTTTTTTAATACAAATTTTAATTTTTATTATAGGCATTTGGGGACTTTGATTTAGTCATAATTTCTTTGTCCCATAATTTTTTTTTTCCACAGTCAAGAATGGTACCCTAAACTGAAAGCAATTTAAATCTATTATGTCAGTAGATTAAAGATAATTTCTGGTATGAAACCAGGGGCCTTTCAGTAATCTATACTTGATTCTCAGCACCCTTATAATATAGATAATCTAAACTTGCCAGCTTGTATTCCATTTCTAAAACAATTTTGGTAATCTGTCTTTTTGCATTGTTATTTTATTTTTCTAAGAACCATATCTCCTTGGTCACTTACCAGTTTGGTTATCTTGACTTAAGCAAATAGAATGAGTGGTTTTTATCTTTCTTAAGTATTTATTGTTAAAAATTGGGTTCTAATAAATATACAGATAAGATGAGTTTAGAAAGTTATTTGTCATAGTAGTAGCAGTTATTCCACATGAACGCCAGTTACACTTTAAAAGACAAATAGCAGCAGATCATGTTCTTTGACGTAGTCAGGCATCTAATTTCATAATACTAATTTTTGAGGAATTTTCTCAAACTATAGTAACAGGGTAATCTTGGAATAGTTGTTGAACATCTTATGCGCTATGCATCCCTTTTGTTAAATTAATATTAATATTAACTCATAGGGGCATTAACTCAGAGGCTCAGCTGAGATCAGTTACGTCCATGAGCTGAGAACAGCCAGTGGACTGCCGCCTGTGCTCCTTCCTGCTGGTCTGTGGCGTCCTGCTCACCTTGCTTTCTGGTTGGACCCATCATATTGTCTACAAACCTGCCCTCAGTGGCTTTAATACAGATTTGACATGTTTCCAGACCTTTGTAGTTTCACGAATTTCTTGAGTCTGATCAGTATCTAGCAGTTTCCGGGACAGTGCTCTTCAGTGCTGTTGGCATCCCCGATTCTGATGTGGCCCCCTCGCAGAGCCGTCCTGTGCTTTCAGTATTGTGCTAGTCAGGGCATGTGGATAGCAGAAATGCCAATGTACCTTTTCCCTTTTTCTTCTCTTGTGTAGTGTTTGCAAACTGAATGCTTTGGTCTGTCCTTTATGATACTATCTTACAGAAAACAGTAATCCTTTGTGGAGGTTTATAATTTGCTATAATTTTTCAGGCAAACCTAGTTAGGTAGACTTTTCTGTTTTAATTAGCTCACAAAAGCAATTACTAGGGAGATAAGATAAATGAAACCAAAACCCTTTACAATTCAATGCTGCCACTTTTGGATGATAGTCATTCTCTAGTGATCCCCCTGGAACCTATCAAGCCACACATGCACACCCCTATTTTTTTAAAAGACAATTTCAGGGTTAAGAGTCTACATTTCCTAGAATATATTATTTTAGTTATGCCGTCAGCATTTATATTGTTTCTATGCATTCTGTAATAGTTGTGCTAAAGCTTTTATTGAAACTATTTCTCCCTTATGTTTTCTCTATTTTTCAACTCCTTATCTATTTAAATTCTTTTTGGTTTCAGAGACGACCACCAGATAATTCTTTTTATGTTCGAACATGTAACAAGAATCCAAAGAAAACAAAATGGTGGTATCATGGTAAGCAGTTCTATTTTAGAATAATAACTTTTTAGCCTTTTGGTTTGAAAGATTGTATATCTGTTTGCTTGAGAGAAAGAAGGGAATATAATTGATGTATTTTTATAATATGGAGAAAATGTTTTTTTAATATTTTAAGCTATTTTATGAATAAATTATACTAGCTTTTTAATGGGGCACATAAATCATAGCCATCATACAAGTAAAAGCTAAAATTGCTTTAACATTCTAAAACTCTACCATTTTATTACAAAAAAGGTTCTTAATAATTTTTAGATCAAATTAAAACTAGTTATTGGGAAACCTGTTATTTGAAATAGAAGTTTTGATGCCTTGTATCCTCGGATACTGTTCTTTAGGAGAGGGGTGGATCGCACTGTTAGAGAGGACCCACTAAATTAAAGAAAGCTTCTCCTATTCTAATACTTATTCCTCGAGAAAATTGAGGCTCTGCTGATTGTGGCTTTATAAATACAGTCCTTTCAGTAATTTTAAATTTCTGTTGCTTTTGTTGGGTGAGTGATGGTAGCTTTTGTAATTGAAAGCCGCTAGCGTCTTCTCTATACTGACCTTACTGCTTTGCCAAAGAGATGTTTGAAATTAAAAACAAAATGTTTATATTCCTTAATGTACTTTTTGAAGCAAATGAACAAAAACCACCCCCTGTGATTTTGTATACAAAGAGTATTTCCTTTGTTATTGTTGTTGTTGTTTTAATGTTATTCTAATAAGAAACTAGAACCAACAAAACTAATTAATAGGAATATGGCCATCCAGCCTTACCTTTCTACCCAGTATGAAACCTGTTATCTCAGATAATTTGAGTCAATTAGGAACTTAAAAGGGCCGGCCAAGTGGCTCAGTTGGTTAAGAGCTCGCCCAAGAGTGTGAGCTCTGAACAACAGCGGTTCAATTCCCGTCCAGAGCTGAGCTGCCGCTGAGCTGGCAACAGGTGGCAGGATGGCTCAGCTAAAAAAAAAAAAATGAAACTTAAAAAAAAATAGTCATCGAGTTCTCTAAGTGTTGATACAATATCACTGTACCAGCAGTTACAAGTTAGTAAACACAGTGACGGGAGAATGCCATTCTCTAGAGCCACAGAAATAGGAATATTTGAGATAATGTGAAGGAGAAATATAGATAATCTAGGAGAAGTAGTAACAACACTTTTAAGAGCTGGGAAAAAATAGAGGTATTTTGATGAGAAACCAGTACTATAAAAAAATGTATTATTCTTTACAAATTACAGGTTTAATGTAATTCAGTAAAAATTTAGTGGAACGATGGGGTGGGTACTTGAAACGCTTGGGAAAAAATAACAGGTGAGAAGATCAGTTTGAATTTTGAACTAAAGAATAATGAAGGAGAATTAGTCTATCAGACACCAAAACATATTAATGCAAGAATAGACATTGAAATAGAATTACTCTTTTCTAGGCCATTTTGTACATAAGATTTGAACATATGGTAAATAAGGTGTCACAAATCAGTGAGACGGGAAAAATTATTTAGTAAGTAACCCTGTTAGAAAACTGGTAATCATGTTGGGAAAGAAACATTTGCATTTTTATTTCATATATAAAATATTTCCTGTAGATTGAATTAAGTGTTTTTTAAAAATACAACAATAGAAAATGTTGTGTTTTTTTTGTTTGTTTTTAAGTTGGGTATTAACTGTGGAGGAGGGAAGAATTTCTAAAATTAAAAGGAAATCACAAAGAAATTAAATATTTAGTTAGTTATATGAAAATTTAAACCTTTTATAAACCAAAAAACTTCAAATCACAGTCACTATAAAGTTGAAAAAATAAAATTGTGAAAAACATAGCTTGTTAAAAATAAAGACAATGAAAGTTGCCTAGGGATAAATAGAATTAATTAAAAGCATAGGCTGGAAAACTCAACATACTAAAATAATTACAAATTTAATATTTTGAAATTTACTGAATTGACCGAGTTTTATAAAATGAGTGCAGTGCTGGAGGAGAGTAAAGGGTAGAACAAGACGCTGTTTTCATACTCACTGGTAGTACAGCATCTGTGCAGTCCTTTAAGGGCTAAGGAAGCAGTTCAGCAAATTTAACAAGCTAAAAGTTCAAGATCAACCTTTTGTCTCAGTGAGAAACTTCTGAGAATGCTTCCTAAGAAAATTATCTTTATACAAGAACCATTTTATGCGTGAAATGTTCAGGGGAGCATTATTTATGATCCACACGTTAGTCCGTGTCCTCCACGTGTCCCCTCTACCCGTGCAGTTTGCCTGGAATGCACCCTTCCACACACGCCCCTCTCTGGGGAACTCCTGCACCAACGCCTTGTTCATTACGCCCTCTTTTAAGGAATCTAATAAACCTTATTACTGTGCCTGGAACGCTGGTTTTGTTTTAGCTTGTAAGATGTCCTCAGATGATTCTGTACAGCTGTTCACTTGAGAACTTCAGTCTCACGGATTCTTAGATAGAAAAGGACAGCTTTCCGAATAAGATGCAGCTAATCAGTCTTCAGGAATTCTTTCTGAGCACTGACGTACCACTAAAACTTCTAACAAGACCCTACTTTAATTAAGCAGCCCTTTGCTTCAGTTGACAATGCTGGCTTCTCACTCTTTTGTATCCTCTACCTTTTGGGACCAAACACGATGCCACCTCTTCATTCTGTGCCTTTACAAGGAGCGTTTACAAAAATTCACTGAGTGTCACAGACCCCTTTATCTTATAGTAAGTTCCCAAATTCATCAAAAATTAACATTGCTCAAGAATACTGACGGGCTGGCCGAGTGGCGCGATGGTTAAGAACTGGCTTGGGACGCCAGAGGGCCCCGGTTCGGATCCCACATATGAGGGCCAGTGACACTGCCCTCTACAGCTAAGATGCTGAACAACAGCTCAACCTGGAGCTGGGCTCCTGTGAGTCGCCGGCAATGGCTAGGCTGTAGTCCCTGCTGCAGTGGGTTGCCATGGGCTGCCGTGTGTAGCCAGCAGCCAGCGTGAGCGGCCAGCAGCCGCAGTGAGTGGCCGTCCAGAAGCCGGCGACTGATCTGCCTCACCCGGAAAGAGCGCAATGATGGTGCCAACTTGGGCCAGTGAAGCAACGTCCTCCACAACTAGACTGAAGAACAAAGCAACAGCAACTTGTCTGTTCCCCTTCCCCCAATTCCCCAGAGCTGTTCCCATCCCCCCAATTCCCCAATTAAAAAAATCTTAAAAAAAAAAAAAATACTGACTAACACAACTAAATCAAACATTTTTTTTAGTGTCAGAGTTCCTAAAACAATGGTCATTTTATTTCAGACTCAGCCTCACTAATGATAGAAAAATTCCATTGTCTTTACAACAGTGCTTTTAAAGCAAGTTTTAAAATTTGAGAAGAAATTGTCTTAGAGTGCTGAATTTTAAAAATACATCTATTTTGAAAGTATAGCCCTGTCCGTCAGTGTTAGATGCTTTATTCCTATTTTTTCCTTCCTTAGTCCCTGCAAGGGATATTTCAAAAAGATAATCATCTCTCAACACCTCTAATGCTTTCCTACATAGTGGAAAGGACTTATGAGACATCCTTTGTCTAAGAATGTGTACTTCCAGAATTTCATATTACCTGCTTTTGAATAAAATGGAGAAAAGTGACATAGTGATACTAGAAATATAAAAATTTTAAAAAATAAAATACAATTCATAGAAGTTACTTTTGATAAGAGTTGATAGTTTTTATGTTGCTGAGAAATCTATACTTTCATAACTAAACTGGAAAAGTCTTTTAATAGTTTGAGGATGGATCATCTTCAAGTTAGCCAAAAAGTACCAAGAAAAGAGGCTTTTCAAACAAAATTAACCTCTTACTTAATGTAACATAGTCCAGGGTTTGTGTAGGAATTAATTTTTCCAATAAACAGATTAAACATATCCCCCTTTTATCCCCCCAAATACAAATTAGCCATTTTTTAAAGGCACTGGATTCTACTTCAACTGAATCGTGAGCACCTTAGTCCAGTCTCAGTCCTGGGCTAGTAGCGTCGTCCCAGGTACAGATGTGTTTTCATCTACCGATAATTCTGCTTAGAATATCCTCAGTTCATTGACGTACAATGACCATTCTTACCCCAATATGTTTCTGCTCCTGTTTGAACCCTGCATGCTTAAATCATTCCCTCTCCACATTTTCCTTTAAATTGACAATTTTGCTCATGAATGAGCCTCGTGAAATCCAGGAAGGTAATATTAATTTACACTTTGAGATGATGGAGCAACTGCTGTCGTCAAGTGGGTGCATGCAGAGACCTTCCTTGAACTTTTGCTTTCCCTTTAAAAAACTGAAGCATTTCAGCTGTGTCACATGTCTTCTTTATACATTTTTAGAATAGCAGTTACAGGCCAGGTGGCAAATAGCCCACCTTGGCGTTGTAGTTGAATTTGGAGAAACCTTATCAAAAAGGTAATCATGCTCACTGAAGTGGAGCACATCAGGCTTTGTTTTTCTTTTCCAGATGTTGGTTTATGTTCTCTGCTTAGCTGCTGTAGCTCCAAAACACCTTCATTGACCACGCTCTCTCTATAACACCGAGTTACCAAGCGATATGGGCTTTCGTTATCTCTCAGCATCACCTAATTCTGAAAGGATTACTGGTGTGACCTGCAAAGCTAAACAGAAAGATCAGATTGAACGAAGACTTGCTTGGAGTTGGATGAAGTCCCTGAAAGTTGACTTAACATTTCAGTTCCTAGAAACCCCGCAGCACTGTAGGCCTCGGACTCAGCTCCACAGTCCTGTGGTGCTGACCGACACCTTGGGGACAGTGTGTTTGTCAGGGTTATTCAAAGAGGCAAGAGAGGTTTGGGGGTTAGATGAGTGGCATCTGTGTGCTCCAGAGGGGGCCTCTCCGTGCAGGATGGAGGCGCTATTGACAGAAACCAGCAACTCTGAAATGTAGTTCATTTCCTGGTTTTAGAAGAGGAGGACTTAGCCGATACCAAAAATGAGCTGCCAGATACCAGTATTGGGTTCTTGGGTGAAAAAACACCTCACTCGACTTAAATCTGTGACCATCCACATTATTAGTGTGTCTTGAAAATCAGGCTGGTCTCTGCTGACCCAATTACTTGTCTCCGTGTATATCACACCTCATCAGTTAGGCGCCTCTTAATGTCTCCATCAGCGACAGGCTGCGTGTGTGACCGTGTTCCCATGAGATGAGGGTCTGGTAACTTACGCCATGCTTAGATGCAGAAATGCTTGCCATTCCGTTCCGGTTGCCTACAGTCCTAGTACAGTAACAGGCTGTACAGGCCTGTCCCCCAGGAGCAGTGGGCTGTACCACACAGCCTGGGTATATGGTAAAAGTCATTGATGTGTGAATACGTGGTCCTTATTACTGCTTACTCGAAGTTGACTAAGGCTACATCTGCATTGGAATGCACATGTTCTGTGTTGCCAATTAAATCAGGTCCATATGCTTTGAAAAATTATTTGAGTCAAGAGAATAGGGTTAGAAAATAAAGGAATCTAACCCAAGTGGGTATTTGAACAGACAGTTCATCTCAGCATATAAAGGGGCTGAGGGATTTACATGGTTCAGGGCTAGCATCTTCCTTAGAAAGCGGAGCTGTATCCAGCACAGTGTACAAAGGAATGAATGATTGAGCTTCAAAGCTCTGTATCATAAAAAGGCATAATTGTTCTTGAAAAGGATAAAAAGAACCTTTTTTATGAGATTATAAAACCATTTCAATGAGATAGCCAACTAGAATCCATTAATAATACCCATCTATTTTCTGGGACCAATATTAAACATTTACAACTTAGTTTCAGAAATGATTGCTTTCCAGGGTGGGGAATAAAGATCTGTGGTTCCTGAAGCATTTTCTTTAAAGCGATAGAGACGGGAACAATACAGCTTAAGGTGGCTCCTGAGTGTTAGCTCCGGAAAACTAGGCTTACAGGAAACAAATTAGCATAATGTTTAGATGTTATATCCTGTAAACTGATGAGTTTATAATTTGGGGAGGAGTAATCTCTTTTTTACAAAACTATAGACTAGATTCTGGTTTCATTTAGCCAAAAACATTTCCTGTAGAATTACAAGGTTTATAAGGGGACAGGAACATAAAATTACCTTATACTAGTAGTAACAAACTCCTTTTCTCCTTGCCTTATAAATGCACAAATTTATTTACGTTGGTTGTGAGACTTATTGGTGCTATTCTTTAGGGTTACAAAATCATTTTCTAAATTCATGAGCCCAAACTTTTACTCAGTCTTTGCCCTTTATTTCCTGCTGGATAACAACTCTGTTGTTGTCTCTGAAAGCTTCCTTGAATCGGTTTATCAAAGGAAACTTAATTCCCTAAACTACTGAGAGACAAACCAACTGTAAAGATGGCTTTTGTCTTTCTTGGAGGTAGCATCCCACTTCATATCTACTGACCTATTACTGTGTTCCTTTTCTTCTAGTCTTCTGTCCCTGGGAATATCCAGGGAGATGCTTTCCCATATAATGTGATGGTTCTTATACTCGGGGGAAAACTAAATGACCTCCTTCTAATATAGTTCTCTCTCATTCACGTTTCCCAGAAGCCCAGTGAAGTTAGCCATGGTAGGTGTCACCTCTTACAGAGCTGGTAATTTGTTTATTCTGTTTGAGAGTATAATTTTAGTAGGGGCTTTTGCAGTTCCAGAAAAAATTAAAGTGGTTAGTACAATAGTTTTTTTTTTTTTTTCAGGCCATCATCTTGCACAAATACTTTAGCCAGAAGGTTAAAGACATATTTTTCTTTCAGCACCTTTTATAGACCTATATTTGTCTCGATCCAAGATTGGTTTTGCTGTTAACAACTTTCTTTAGAAAGCCAGTCCTAGTATCTAGTAATCCTTTCATCTAGCCAGGAAACGAGGTTCCTTCAGCTAACAGATGAGCTATTTTGCTGCTTAGTGATGGCCTTCCATTTGAGGGAAAAGGTGGCCATGGCTTCGGCTCATGCCTGTCTCCATCCTCGTTTGCTCGTGGACTCTTGATTACACAGACCCATCATGGATTTGTAATGGCTAAGTTCTCATGGGTCCACCTCGCAGAGATACTTGAATTCTTACCTTCAGAACGTATTTAGTAAGCTTATTTCTCCAAAGATGCATACAGTATTTAAGATAGATAGTATCGCATTAGTCCTAAATTTGTGTTAACCTCTGACCCAAGGTGGGAATTGAGATAGGGAGAATGGCTTTACAAGGGTCTCCCAATAATTTTGGAGGTTGGTAGCACATTCGACAACAGTCTACTGTATTGAAAAACTTCCAGAATGAACAGCCTGATAAAGACACATTTATGGTACCCCCTAACGCAGATGAGATATGTCTTTGAAGATAAAAGCTTATTGCTGGTAAACATTATGTTCAAGTTGAGTTTTATCTGTCACTCATTGTATAATTTACATTGTCCTGTGGTGTGATACTAAAGTTTATCCCCAGTAATTTGACATTAGGTAGAGTTTAGTGCCATCTCTTAGGCTAGAGGTTTAAGTGTGATTAGTTTTGGTACTAATTTCAAGTGCCCTATTGTTATAAAGTATTCTACTGGAGAAGTGAAATTTTAAGGAACTTCTAAATTAGTTCTACATCCATGACTAATACATCCTCTTTATTTCAATTTCCACAGTGATTTAAGGAACAGACCGTTTCACGTGACACTTAGAGGCTATGAACTATCCACTTGTTTTCTTAAAGATATTATTTATTTAAAGAATTCTAATGATTAGATATTATTTATTTTAAAAATCCAGTCTGTTTCACCCTTCAGCTTACCCTTAAGGTGTAGGATCGTGCAACATTCCACCAGCTTGCCCAGGACAGAAGTCACTTTACTGGTTTTTAGCTCTCATTGCGTCTTTCTGAATGGGAATTTTATTAGCCATGTATTGCTCCTAACATGGGATGATTTGTAAAATATTTTGGCCAGTTTTTCAGAATTTTCTCCTTGAGAGCTTTTACCATTCTTGGGTAGTTGCCACTAGTCTATAGTTTCTTTCTAAAGACTAACCAGTCCTCAGAATAAATCCTTCAGATATGTTTTTGTGAAATAACTTTTGTAAAATAAGTCATGAGCCCAAAAGATTATACTACGTGTTACATAAACATAATGTGTTGAGGCTACCAGAAGGCATTACTGAATAAGTGTACAGGATTTTTTAACGACCTTTGCATATGTATCGATACTTGCTGAAAAACTTACTTTCTAAAGAGAAATTAATAACATTATTTGATTGATTTGCAGAGTGTACCTCGTTTGTGAAGTGATTTCCTTCATAGACTAAAGATATGACTTGTATTCTGGGTTAATTAGCATGACAGTGTTGGTCAGGAGTTTACTTCCTGTCTCATTGCCATTTTAAATTGTTGCCCAAGAAAGAATTCTCTTAAGACGATAAATCCTGAATATGTGCTAACACATGTCAATTTATTTTAAATAGAACTGACATTAATAATGCATCATTTTAATATTTGTGTGAACTACCTTGTCCCTGGAAGAATAGGATGTGATTTGTTTGTCATTATGTAACTGAACACAAGTTGGACTTTCTATTTGCAGGGTTTGGGAGAGGCAAGTCAGACGTGTAAACCATGTTCTTCTTGCTACTAGTAATTATTTTTATGTTGGACTGTACAGATGTTACTTACACATGCTTGACTTTTTCTCCTTTTTTCTCTTTTTTTTTTTTAAAGATGATACTTGTTGATGCCACTGTTCTCCTCCTCCTAGCAGAAGATAGTCCTACTGAGAAACGAGCACTTTGATCATTCAGTCTTTGAACTTTAACCTTTGACTGGAAGTGACGTATAGGCAATGAAGACTACTTCCTTTTACTGCATTTTTACTCGTGTGCATTCTGGGCGCATGTTGATCGCTGGTTCAATCCAGGCAACTGACATGCTTTTATTAGTCATACAGTATTAATGCAGGTGTCAGGAAATGTCAAATATAATTCCATTTTTTATTTTTATTTTTTTAAGCTTTTGGAAAAGTTCCAGGTCCTCATGTATTGTGCAATAACAATGACTTCCTTGGCGGTTCGGGGACGTTCATTGCCGGCAATGGACGTTGTAACAGGAAAAATTCTCATTAACTCCTGCCACCCCGTGATTAATGCATGATAGGGCCTATGAAATGAACTTACCTGTTATAGTGGGATTATAATAAAGTGAGGGATCCAGCATTACTTTGCAAAGTCACCCCAACTGTTTATATTTGGATTCTATGCACTGTGATCCTGAGGGTAACAGCATGAATTAACATGCATCTTTAAAAGGACTGTAAAGAAAGATCATTGCGTATTTATTGAATTGTTTATATCTGCTGTCAAATTGTTTTGACATGGAAGATTTTCAAGTAACATTGGCAGAAAGGTACAATATGTTATCCCTATGGTGAAAATAAATTCTTCGGTTGTATATAGTTCCTCAATCTCTGAAGCAAAGGTATGAGTAATATAGGGTATGAATGGTTTAATCAAGGCTTTATTTTGGAAGTAAGAAAACTGGCAGTGGTGAATTAAACTGCTGCAGTCCATAATTTGGGCTTGTTGTTTGTACATTAGCGATTTTTCCGAGTAGACCCCACTCTGTTAACTTCCCGCTAGCCATCAGCATGAACCCTACTGCCTAAACACTATTTCATTTATTTATGTTTGGAAAACCCATACACATTTTTGTTTGCGATTTTGTTTCTTTCGTTATGTCTTAAGTCAAGTTTGAATGTTACAATACTTTAATTGAAAAACTTTTGTCAAGTTTTTTCTTGTAAATTTTCTTTACTTGTAAGTATCATCTTGTCCTTCAATCCTGTACCCTAAAATAAGAAATACATTTTTGACAGAGGCTTAATGTTTTAACAAAAGAGTGTGGACATTTTTATTTTAAAATGTAGGCAAAAGTACACTGTGGAATGGTATGTTTGCTTATTTGTCTTACACACCATGCAGTTATTCCTGGAGGGATTTGGTTTTTTTTTTCTTGTTTTTACTTTGCTTACAGCTAGAAAAAAATTTCCTATAGAAAAAAATTGTTGAAAGGTCCAATTCTCAGTACCATGTAAGTTAATGATACTACAAGTAGGTTCTCTTTTTAAAAAGTGATTACTGTATTTTATAAATTACCTTTTCACATATGCAAAATCTGTTTCTACTACAATGTTATTTTTACTAATGCCTATTGTTGCACTCTTTTTGACATTTCCTGCAGTGAATTTATGAATCAATGTGGGCTTAAAAATAAAAGCCAAATTGGCTGAAAGGTTTGAAATATGTACCCCAGCTTAACCATCCAATCAATAATTGGCAAAGGATATTTTAAAAGTTGTTTTTAATCTCTGTATAGGTGACATTTTGTAGCTTTGTACATGTTAATTAAGGGCATATAATTTTACACTCTAAAGTATAATTGCTGAACTCAGGGGTGGGTAGACTTCAAAAATATGTCTGCTTTAGAAATAACTTGAAAAAAATGAAAACTATGGCCAGCCACCAAATTGTGGACACTGTTTCTACTGCTAGTTACACTTTTTAAAATGAAAAACATCTTGACTAGGCATACCTAAGTCCTCACAGTAGTCTCTATCGGTCTTATTAGTTGGCCTGTTTGACCAAGACAGAAAATGTTTTTTGGAATGCTTTGAACTACCCTTAGTTTTAAACTGCTTTTTAATATGAGAATCGCAGCTGTAAATTATGTATTTTTCATATTTTACGTAACTGCTCTAGACTACTGATTGACTTGATCCTTTTCTGGAGTTGCGGAGGGTAGATTTCTCTTCATACTGCTGGTCCTCTTACTAATATCCTTTTATTAAAAAATGACCTGTGACATTTATTCACCAAAGGAATTGACATACCAGGTCAAAGATTAACAATGCTATACGACAGATTAATAGGTCATATATAGCCGCAGTTGAGTTTTTTAATATGAGTAACAGTATTTTAACATACCTCTCTCTCTACATAGAGATATCATAAAATAAAGTGAAGAGGAGGAAAGTAAAGGAAAACTAAATAATTTTGGTACATTTTATGGTTTAACGAGAAGAAATTAAGATGAAATACCCTATAATAGAGAAACACCAACCATTCAAAGTTCGCAATCAAGTAAGACCTTGTTCATTACTCCCTTGAACTTAGGAATCATTGAAAACGCCTTTGCACTTAGATTTAATAAATTTATTTTAAATGTAAGCCACACTATTAAAAGACATGAGAACTTGACCTGAGCCATTGCTCTAGATAGGACAATTAGTGGCTTTGTAATGATGAAACAGTTATTTCTCTGTACTGCGTTGTTGAATGACAACCCGAATGCCAAGGAAATGTACATAGGAACATGTCCTCCCCTCTTGCCCGCGACCCCACCGCGGGGCGTGGCCTGCCACGGGGGCCTGCAGAATCCGACTTGCTTCTTCTTCTCTATTTATTTATTTATTTATTTTAAGGCCACTCTTCTCGATTGCCAAATTCTGTTAAGACAATGATACATTCAATTCCTTGTTCTGCATGCTTAGAGCAGGAACTTGGTGTCCTTTCAAAAAAACTACGTTAAGTAGGCACCGCTGCCGTAGATTTTAAAGAGAGAAATGGTTTTCAGTTTTTTTTAAGATGAATTTAAAAAAATAAACTTTATGGATGTTCTCTTAAGGAATTTAATATTCACCTCAAAAGGACTTTCCTTGTAATGTATAAATGCCTCCTTTTAGCTAGCAGGGAAATAAAGCTGTTTTTAATCCCCAGGGGGGAAAAAATGCTAAAAATAGCTTTTCTATACAGTTCATCTGGAGAAAGATCTTAATCCTTATTGTTTTGACCAGGTATACAGATATTTGGTATAAAGTAACTAGAATAGTTTATTACTTTTTCCCTTCTGAAATTTTAAATATATGCAAATATATATATATATATATATATCATTAGATTCCTGTGATGGATAATAATTTTTTCAGATTCTAAAACAGGTATCTAGTGACTGCTTGATTGTTCCCAGATTGAATCAAAGATGAATTGACAAATAATGGAAATGGGTAGTGATATGAAAATGGTATGTAACCACATATTGTTTCTGGTACTCGAGTCTTATTTTTTAAAAAAGCCTATTGTTTTTAAGAATTGAGATATTTAAAACTTGTTAAAGCTTCTTCCGAAAAACAGAAGAGAAGAGGAGGTACTGTGTGTTCAAAAATCTTTTTTAAATAAAGAATTCAGTGTCACTAGTCCTAAGCCTTTATGGTTACTGCTGCTTACATTTCTCGACCTCACTTTTCTTTAGTTTTTTTGTACGTATTTTAGCTGAATGCTTCAGATTTATAATTGCGTATATAAGTTGGGGTTTTTTTATAAAGAACTGAGGCTTAAGCATATGTTTCTCTTGGAGGATTTATTCTTATGAAAACCAGATGCTGTGCTATTCTGTGTTTCGTTAACACCTTTGCATAAGTGAAATCTGTGAAGGAGTCTTTATCTGAATCTTCTTGCCAGTCATTTTGTTGTGAGAGAGAGAGAGAGAGAGAGAGAGAGAGAGAGAGAGAGAGAGAGAGAGAGAGTGTGTGTGTGTGTGTGTGTGTTTCTATCTCTTATTTTTTTCTTCCTGCCTCACAAGTGTGCAGCGTATCGTCTTAGGCAGTTTCTCTTTCTGACTTCTCTAAGTTTTTCTCGCTCTCCTTTTCTTCCTTCCCTCCCCCTTTCCCTTTTCTTGTGGTTAGGGAATCCAGAGATTATTAAAATTTCGACCTCTCATCAGAATTTTTTTTAAAATAAAAAGACTCCTTCCTACAAATATTGGGTTGTCAGAAAAGTCATGACGCATTTTTGCAACGAAAAACATAGAAAAAATATGTCATGACTTTTCTGACAACCCAATAAAATACATAGAACTTCTGATACGTAATTTCAATTCCTCAGTAGATGGCTAAGCTTGTTGAATAATTGACTAGGTAAATGAGCCGTTAACTATAATTTAGCTCTTACATTCTAATATTGAGGGAATTTCGTTTACTTTTTGGATGGTGACTTCCCAAAGACTAACTATTGCCCAATTGAATTAAATTACTTGTTTTGGTAAAAGTGTATTTACATTTAAGTTTCTAAGCCATTTTGAGATTTGGAACTCCTTTTAAAAATAACAATTTGTAGGAGACTTGCTTTCTCAGCATAAATCATGCATTCATTTAAATATAGGCTTATATTTATCATTAGAGGCCCATGGGATCTAAACATGTCCTTCAAACTAAGATCTCTCTCCTTCAAGTGGAAGGAATGCCAGAGTAGAAGCTGGCATATCCCAACATACCTAAAGACACCAGTTTTGCAAGTCGAGTACAGTTGACTGGGAAAAGGAAAAACGTTCTTGTTCTGTTTCTTGGCACATACAGTGTCAGCGTTTTGAGAAAAGTGTGCTCCTACCATTCTAAGTTGTTTTCTCAAAGGCAAAAGCATGCTCTCAAACTTACAGGGCTTTGGCTTGTTAGGTGTGAAGTCACTTGTGACATTTCCTGGTATGTGGAAAGATGAAATAATCCTACCTCTCTAATTTTAAAGCCTGAAGCAGGACAAGTCAAGAATTTGGTCGATTGTGTCAGATAACCTTGAAAATGCAAGGCTCTTCATATAGTTACCAGATTGTTTACATAAATGCAAATTGTCGGGATTGAGGTAAAAAAATTATTTCAATAGATAATTAGATCCATTATCTAGTAGCCAAGAATTAAGTGCATGTTGAAGTGTAAATGGATTTGTTGTTTTTAGTTGGTACCATTTTTCTCTCAATATTCAGAAATACCGATTGTGCATTTTGTTAATAGAAATGGGAGTTTGTGCTTGAGGGTTTGAATAGAGTGGATGTATATATTTTATAAATTCAAAGTTGTAAAATATGTAAAGCTACTGCTTTTTAAATAGAATATAAATGTTGAGACAGACAGATCTATGCTATATTTTTAAATACATGTATCAAACTTTTGTTAGTTTAATATAAATTACATTGTGTGCTTTCTGGGATTCAGTAACTTTTGATAATAAAGCAGTTGTCGATTTTTTCTGTAGACTCGAATACTAAACTGGGTAGCTATTAAACCTCTTTGTAGTTCGTAATAATGGAAACATTTATATACAAAGACTGATCTATAAAAGATTATGGAAATAGTAACATGTCCATTTCTGAAATGAGTGTGACAGAAGGAAGATAGTCACTGAAGCTGCTTGTTCATTTACGTAACAGATCATCCTAAGTAGTGTCGCCTGGTGTGTGTTAGCAGTTCTTCCTGCTTTAATTAAATAAGTCCTGATTGCAGACTGAGCGTTTTCAGAAAAGATGGAAATGGAGACCCTTGCTTAGAGTTCCCAGGAGCCTGGTGTTGCAGACCTTCACCTTGTACGATGAATCAGGACACACTGTAGAGGATGTCTGGATGCTTTCCTGAGGATGCAGACCATCAATACCGCCCTTAAGTGAGGGGTCTCCTGAAGCTGTGAGAAGAAGGAAAGAAGTAAACAGCAGAAGGGGACATCGCCACATCCCAGTTACTCGGCAGGAAGAATTCAGTGTGCTCTGCCGATACCCCGAGTTTTCTTTTCACAGGGGGTCTGCTTGCCCCCGGAGCAGGGTCTGCTTATTCCTTATTAGGGCAGCCATTCTACCATGAAACGGTCTTATCTCAACACGCTGTTTCTGCAGCCCTAACCGGCTAGGCTAGTAGCTAGTTGGATAAATACAAGATCCGTCTTCCTTTTCCTTTGTACTTGGATGGCACACTCTCCCTTTATTATAATTCTTAAAATAATTTCTACCTCTCAGCAGTTATGACTTTTCTCCACTAGTTTAAGCTACTGTGGATAAGTGAAGCCCTCCCTATAACCCTGAGTACTTTTCGCCTTAATAGAACACGTAGCAAATTAAACATGAACTGAATTGAAGGGTCAGATGACACAGCTAAGGGTTTTCTGTGCTTGGACAATACAGTCCAAGGCCATAGTCTGTCCTGTTGGGATCAATCAATCTCTTCAATTGCTTATGAGATTTCTTTTTAATGTTTGCTTAAGGCAAAATATATCCATACAAGTACCTGTGTGTCCTTTCCAGTTCAGTGGAATATGAAAATATTTTACTAAGGAAAGTTGGAATGAGAAACTAAGGTAGAGAATATCTTGTGTACTTGGCCTTCAACGACCTAACGTGGGTAGATACGTATCATCAGGCAAGAGCCTAATATGGATCGCTATATCCTACAGAAGAGGTATCCAACCAAACAGAATTTTTCATCTCCACACTCATCCCCAAAACCTGTTTCTCTTACTTGTCATAATGGCATTTTACCCAACGTAGTTGTCCCAGCAAAGACTCGAACACTATTGACTAGTCTTCTCTGACATCATTAAGCCCTGTGGAGCCTGTCTTGAAAACATCTCTGCCATGTCTCCGTTTTCTCCGGCCCTCTCGCCGCTAGGGCCTTTCATCCTTGGTCCTGGAGCTCTGAGGCTGCTCTTCTGTCCACACACCGTGTTCCGTAAATAGTAGCAAAGCCAGAGTACCTCTGTTGTGCTGATGCTCTTCGCTGATCCAAGAATGTCCTGTCTGCTTTTCTACCTGAAAGGTCCAGTTAAGTGTAGTTATGAAGCCTTTCCTCGTCGTCCTTCCCTTTCCACCCCATCAGTCCTCCATCCTCAACTCGCTAACAATAAATAGTAATGTCCCAATTGCGTTTGTGTCCCCAGCACAGCACGTAGTCCTATCATAGAAGCTTTTAATAAATGTTTGTTGAATTAACTTGATTGTACTTGTCTTTTTCACCTAGCTTTTTGCTAGCAGATTTGAAACCTACATCTATATCACCATTTATGTGGAATGCTATAGCAGAATCTTACCCTTCCTGTCTTAGTGAGTTAGAAAAAATTACTCTTCTTCATTGGGTTTGCTTTCTTTTATTAAAAAAGGGCGTTTCTCATGTCCTTGCCTTATCAGATAAATTGCTTGTCTTGATTGTAGTCACAAATTAAGAACATGATTGCTTTACAGTAAATACATCTGAGAAGCCCTGAGATCATAAAAGTAACCCTACTCATTAAGGATAAAAATGGACGTTAAAAAGCACAGACAGTGTCCAACTGCAGTTTTTCAACTTGATGGTGTAAAAGTGACACACATTCGGTAGAAGCCATGCTTTGAATTTTGATCTCGTCCCAGCCTAGCAGTGTGCACTACACTGTTCTCATGCTGGGCAGTGGCAGTGAGACGATTTTGCCCAACTGTAGGCTAATGTGCTGGCACGTTTCAGGTGGGCAAGGCCGTGCTGTAATGTTCAGTAGGTTAGGTGTTGTATTAAGTGCATTTTCTCCTTATGAGATTTTCAACTTACCAGGGTTTTATGGGGATATAACCCCACCGTAAGTCCGGGTGTACTTCGTACCTCCTATGTGAGGAAGGATGGCAGATAAGAAGAAGCCTGTGTCTTCAAAGTGCCTGTATAATAAGAGACGAGCAATGATATAAAAAGTGATGAGTCCTAAGAGGTAGAGATCAAGGACAGTTTCTCATAATCACAGAAATGAGTTGTGTGCAAAAGGTACTATCCTGGCTTGAAAATTATCAACTTGGTAGCTGAGCTCTAGGCCAGTGCAAAGATCACAAGTACAAAGGCCCTAGCCAGGGCTTGTGTGAAGGCCAGCCCAGAGGATGTTGAGGCTGGTTCCGAGGGAGCCTGTCGGGCAGCAGCAGCCCGGGGCCACGTGGTGTAGGGCCTTGTGGGTCGGTAAGAAGTTGGTCTCTTGATTTTTCACTGAACAGAGATGAGCATAGCAGTCAACGTTCCTTTTGTCCTCAGGACATTGATCAATAGGGAGGAAATGATGCAACAGTCACAGTGTGGGCAATATCACAGGGAAGGTTCCCCAGAAAGCAGCCCAGGATAAGCCCCAAACGAGTAGCCACTGTACCAACATCCCACCCATCAAAACTAAGTTAAAAGTAGGCTCCAGTAGAGCTATGTCCCCAGAGTAAACAGCCCTACTTCAGACTTGCACCCTGCATTGGTGCGGCGAATGTCAGGCTTTGGACTTGGATTAGGTGGGGCCCCTACCTGACACTGTCCTCAGGAGGTGACCCGAAGCAAATGGAAGTCCTCTTCTAGACCTCAGATGACCTCCACGAGGGATTTATTTCAGTACAGTGACCAGCACACAAAGCTTGTAACATTCTAAGCAAACAAGACATCGTAATAAAGAACTAGCAGAAACTAGACCTAGAAAGCATTGGAGTCCTGGGGCAGGGAGTGACACCACCTGATGTACTTGACTGCTCTGCATGCCACACTGGGAGCTTCTGAAGAACCAGAGCTTGTCTTATGTATAATCAAATATTGAGCGCCAGCTGAATCCCAAGCAGCTGGTGGTCTGGCAAGGAAGACAAACGGGTAATTGAGAGAATGTGACGCTTGGTGTGACTGGGTAACCGCAGCACTGAATGAGCATCAAGGCGGGAACGATCAAAGGCAGTCCAGGAAGCTTCCAGGGGAGGTTGGGAGGATTTTCTAGGCAACAGGAGAGTGAAGACGAGGCACCCACAGCAAGTGCAAAAGCCCGGGGTGGAAGAGAACCGTGTGCTTGTAGCATTGACTTTGGGTGTGGAATGGTAAAAAGTAAGCCAAAATAAAACGAGCTAGAACGTGAAAGTCCAGGTTGTAGAGCTGATTTTATCTCCTGGGCAACAGGGTCTGATGGGAGTCAGATTTGCACTTAAAAATTCCCTTGGCAATGGTCTGAAGAGCATGGAAATGTCACAGATCTGGAGCGGAAAAAATTAAGAGGCTGCATTGGTAATCCAGACAAAGATGATGATGAATTTATTATAAAGTAATGGCATAAAAATAACCATATACACCATTGGCACAGAAGGGAGAGTCCAGTAACGGTTGACCTGACTCTTAGTTATTTGTTTCACAGATGTGTATATATGGGTAAAAAATAGTCTATTCAACAAATGGTATGAGAGCATTTGGAAAGCCAGCTGCAAAAAATAATAAATAAAAATCTTACACCATATACAAAAATGAACCCAAAATTAATCAGACCTAAATTAAGAGTAAAAACTATAAAACTTCAAGAAAACAGGAAAAAAAATCTGAGATCTTGAATCTGGCAAAAATTTCTTGAGTAACAAAGCAAAACCCAATTTAAAAATGGGCAAATTTTATTAATGAGTGTTTTGACTTGAACTGGTACTTAAGAAAATACAGGGGTGGCAAATAAGTACATGAAAAGCTGCTCAGCCTCATTAGTTACTAAGGGAATACCAATGAAAACCACGAGATACCACCGTGCTGACCAAACCAAGTTTTGGCAAGGACGTGGCACGGTGGAAACTTTGCTACACTACTGATGGGGATGTAGAGTTGTTGAAGCACTTTGGGAAACAGTTTGGCAGCTTCTTAAAAAGTAAAACATGTACCCAATGTACAAAGCCATTTCACCCCTAGGTATTTAACCAAGAGGAAAGAAAGCATATGTTCACACAAAGGCTGATGCACAACCATTTTATCCAGTTTGTTTCTAAAATGCCCAAACTGGAAACACCCCAAGTGTCTATCAATAGGTGATGAGGTCACACTTTGGTACATCGATACAATGGAATACTACTCAGCAACAAAGAAGGAACAACCTATCGACACATGCGACATTGATAAATGTGTTATGCTAAGTGAAAATACCCAAGTGACAAAGAATACAAACTATGGTTTTATTTGCCTAAAATTCTAGGAAATGCAAACTTCGTTATAGTGACAAAAACTAGATAAGTGTTGACCTGAGGATATAGGGTCGTGGGAAGGGGCATGAGTGAACTTTTGGAGGTGACGGATATTTTCTTATCTTGGTATCACAGGTGGATATGTATTATCAGAACTCATTGAATGGCACACGTTAAATATTTGTATTCCGTATTATGCCTTAATTAGACAGAATTGGGAGGCTTTCAGTAATAAAGACAAAGCCTGATAATGGCCTGAAGTGGATTATGAAAAAGTGGGCAAATGCAGTGATAGTCAACTTGCTTCAAAGTAATCACAGCTTCACAGCGAAGGAGCTGGAATTTAAAACAGGCTGATCCAATATCCAAGCTCTAAGTCAATATGCTTATACTTAGAATGACGCCCATATTTTTGACGAGGACACCTGGGTGGACAGCGATGACGTTCACCAAAACGAAAGAAGCAGATTTGGGAGGGGAGATCCGAGTATTCCCCCATAGCACCAAGAATAGTAGCTTATATAGCCAGAGTGGGTGACGGTGGGAGTTGACGTTTTTAGGTGGCGGTGTTCATGAAATATTTAGTGCGATGTCATTTTACCCTGTTCATGAAATTATTATTACCTATTGACTGACAGCCCGAAAGGAATTAAATATTTTCTAGCCCACTAACCTAACCATGGAGTTAATCATTTCTCAGCATCTTTGAAGTGATCAACCCTGACCACCTTCGCTAATAGGATTTAATCAACCTAACTCAGAAAATTATTGCACTTTTGAATAAATCTCACTATTAGAAAGTGATTCCTTCTGAACTGAACTATGCTCCCTACTATCTATTACGGATTGTAGTGTGTCCCTTAAAAAGGTATGTTCAAGTCCTAACTCCCAGCACCCTAGAACGTGGCCGTATTTGGAATTCAGGTTGTTGATTGATTAAGGTGAGGTCATTCAGGAGTCGGGTGGCTGTTAATCCAATGTGAGCAGTGTCCTGACAATTGGAGAAGACCCGTGAGGGGAGAATGCCATGTAACGGAGTGATGCATCTGCGAGCCAGGCACCACCCACCACGGGTGGCCGGAAACCACCAGAGAAACTGGAAGAGACAAGGAAGGAGTCTTCCCAGAGCCACCGAGAGAGCACCACCCTGCCGACACCTGATCCTAGACTCAGCTTCCCAACTGAGAGAATGAATACCTGTTGTGTAAGCTACCCAGTTGGTGGTACTTCTTATGGCAGCCCTAGCAAACTTAATACAAAGGGTAAGAAATGTGTTCTCATCGGAATAACATTTATTCTGTGGGTTTTGGTGTCCCTTTTCTGCCAGCATCCCTGTCTGGGGTCTTAAAGAGTGCCTGATCCACAGGCACAGATTCCACACAGCGTACTATCTGACCACAGCAAAGGAGATGTGGGCATGGACCCATGACCATGGGAGCAGCTGGCCACATCACGTGTGCACCATCCAGAATAATTGGCCTGCGAGTGCTTAGGACAGCCTCCTGGAGGGACCCTGATGTGGCCGTTTGGAGGCAATGGTCTGCAAAGATGGGTGCCATCTTCCAGGATGCGGTATGTGCACTTGAAACAGACCTCTATATTGGGGCTTTCTCAAATAGGAAGACTATATGCGTCCTGACACCGTGTACTCCATTCCTGCCAGGGGACATAGCACGAGTCCCATGGTACTCCAACTCATAGCTACTGTCTTAGCACTTGGATTCCTTGTGTCCAGGGACAGGCTGGCGAGGCCATCTTGACAGGGGTAATTGACCCTGGTATTCAGGTCAGGAAACAGAAACAAAAATAGCAATACCCCTGGAAACCTGACTTCAGTTGTAGAAATTTCTAGACTTGGAGCTTCAAGCAAAACCTATGTCTTTTTACATATTGCCAGCTGTAAATCAAGAATTCACTCAATGTTTGCTGAACAATTAACAAAAGTTCTGAACTCAAGTTCCCACAGAGTTTCCATCCTCACTTTGACATTCTTGAAATGCATCTACCGCTCCAACTTTTACCTGGCCAAAAT